CCTATTAGTTAAATCTTTGAATTTGACAGCAATGAACCAAACTACTAAATAACCTTGAATTTTGTAAGATCAATATATAATTAAGTTAGATGGGCTGATTCAGACAAGTCGAGACTAAATCTAAAGGTCAAGACTGAGTCTAGACACGAGATAGGTCGAGACCGGTCAAGACTGAGTCGAGACTGGCCGAGACTGGTCAAGCATTTGTCGAGACCATATTCAGACTTTACTAAGATAATCAAGTACTCAATCCGACTTATTAAGTAAAATCGAGACCAAAGTCGAGTACATTTTAGTACAGTTAAGTACTATCGAGATTATGTCGAGTCTTGTCAAGTACAATGTATGGTCGACCAGTGAGGTCTTTTCAGTCGCTGAGCAGTTTGTAGTGCTTGGACACATTCTTCGTTTATTTCTATGTCATGTTATTCTGAGAGGGTAAATCTGTTTTCACAAACACAATTCTGAAAAGAAGTAAACCTAAACACTTACCCTAATTAAAGTTAGTAAAACGTGGCAATGCAACTGTTACAGAAAATGTTATTCAATGTAAGCATCAATCATGTCAATGTTAACTACTAACACATTTGCCTCACCATTTCACTCTTTTAACTTTTCAATTTGAGTGATATATATAAAAAAGAAGATGTGGTATGATTGCCAATGAGACAACTCTTCACAAGAGACCAAATGAAACAGAAATTAACAACTATAGTCACCGTACGGTATTATAGTATATTATGCTTATCACTGTGCTATTAAAATTTAAAACGAATAAATATAGTGTTGTGTTTACTAAAAAACAGTTTTAAAATCACTGGTTATAAAGTTAGCCTATAAACTCCCTTTACACTCCTTTATTTTATATATCTTATCTTTCTTTTAAACCTGATTTTGATTAACAACATTTTAAATCATCAATATAAAGCTTTAAAGTTAATAAAGTTAAGGCATTCTTTGGCCATATGGCAGTAATTTGACCTATGATGGTTTATTTTAACAAATTGTGACTTGGATGGAGAGTTGTCTCATTGGCACTCATACCACATCATCTTATATCTATATATAAAATTTATTAATACATGTATGTGAACAATCAATTTCGATCATTTTATGTGCACTGATGCATGTATTTGTGTTCAAAATTTTGTGTATGTGTGTTTTGTAATAACGTGATGCCCCTAACCTCACAAGGAACGAATGGGATCTTGAAAACCGCTATAGATACAAAAACTCTGAAAGAGCAGAAATGTTCAGAATGTTCAGATCTTTTGTCAGTCTGATAACAACATTGTTATCGGAGTTATTGCAATTTAGTGATGAATTTTACCAATTTGTTTTTAAGTTTGTCTTTATCTTGACAATTGTTATCGATCATGTAGATAGAAAAAAACTTTAAAAATGATCAGCAACGACAAGATCTACTATCAAGTCAACTTGGCCGAAACCGTCAGTCAGCTTCTTATCGGAGTTATTGTCCTTTAATGACGATATGTACCATTTGTTTTTGTGTTTTGTCCATTATCTTGAAAACGTAAATAGATACATAGAAATTTTAATAGCAAAAGTAATAAGCAAGACAAGATCTAAAAATAAGTCAAATTTATGAAAACATCTATTGATTCCTTACATGAGTTATGATCCTTAAATGACGATGTTCACCTTCTTATTTTTTTTCTTCTACTAATTATGTTGAATGCTTTAGATTGAAAGATAGAAACTCTCAAAAATTATCAGCAAGACGGACGCACAGAAGTAATTAAGTGTTATTTTGATCTATATCAGTTCATTTAATAAACAAATACATAAATAAACAAATAACATTACGTAATGGTCTGATTATGATGTCAGACCAATTTCATCATATTTTATCTATGTTGTAAAATTTCTTTCTCAACCAACTTTAATGCGATTGTCTGCTTATGATTGACGACTTCGAGCATGCATTGTCTTTGAAGCTATGAATCAGTATCGTGTGTCTTATGGGTTCAATAATACATATGTTGTGCTACTATTTTTCCCTTGCAAATGGGATTTACAAGAACAAGTAACAAGAATAACTAAACGCCACACTTTTATCGCAAGCAAAAAATATTAATTATAAAATTATATGCTTTTACAGTACTAATTATCAAAAAATAAAAAAATGATTATAGGTTACATCAATGATTACATATATATGTGGTGTTGATTAAAATCAAAGTCATCAATATTTTACATTTCATATTTCTAGTTACACATATTTACGAATGCATAGACAATTGGAATAACTTTTACATGTTTTGTTCGAAAATATATCATGTTACCTTCCTTTCACAATTATTTAGTTTTTTTCTCCTTTATTTTAGTACATACCAAAAGAATAACGAAACAAATTTCATATAAATAATTCTTTGAACTTAGACGCTATATAATTTTGTAACCTTTTTGTGTTTTGTCACGATTATCAATTACAGCAACTTTCTATATTTCAACATTCAAAGCTTTTACAGTTTGTGTATTGGTGATTTACTGGAACAAAAATAAATCATCGGAGGGGTAGACTGGGTCGAATGACGACAGTTATTGACAGTGGTCTTAAAAAGAAAAAAAAATGTTCAAAACAGTTAAAAAAAAACACTTATAACAGCGGATTGATAATGTAACAAAAGTAGTAGTTGTAAACAAAAACCCTGAAAAGGTACATGTATCAGTGTGCAAATATACGACAAAACATGTAGTGTTAATTTATTAGAAATGCCGAAGCAAATCCTATGTTTAACTATCGCTTGCCTTTTTTCTTTGTATTTCTGTTTATTTATATATTCTTGCATAACTAAACTCAAAGTGCACACATACTCTTTGGTCGATGATAAAGGAAAACTGTACATGTATTGTTAGAAATATAGTTCAAGTTATTCTGAAAAAAAGAAATGATTTATTAAAAGTCTTATTGCATGAACTTATTATTCAAAGACACCAATTTCATTAACATATGTAAATTCGTTCTATAGATATTTAAAACGAACATGCTAAGAAATTAAATAAAAAACTTTCACCAAGGATGCTTAGTTTGGTGCAAGTATCGATTAACAATCTAGGTACAACACATTTAAAAAAAGTGTACAAGCTTGAATATACATACTGAATATATATTAAAAAAAAAATTAAGTTAATTACAATCTCAAAGGTCAATCACATATTACATCTGTATATACATTATAATGCATTATAGTGCAGTCGTTATACAGTGCTTGTATAACCATATATGGATTCAAACACGTGCTCATAACATCAGCACACCTAGTTCTGTTTTCATATGTGAAACTGCATATAACAGCGGTATCTTATTTCGACAGATTGAACAGTGAATTCTGAATACAAATGATCATGCAATAACAGACAAAGTATTTACAAAAGGTACACATTTCATTTACACATTTTCGTGAATCATTTGACGTTTTTTTTTGTAAAGAGGACACACTGACAAATGAAAAACATTGAGTAGTGCATGAACTGCTAACCGTTATGGAACATATAAAAAAATATAAACCAGAAATGATGTAACAGAGGTTTAAGTGAACCCTAATTAAATCATATTTTCGGGATTGTTTTCTCTGATTATTAGAACCTTCGCTTCCACTAATGAGATATAGCAGGTCCTTCATATACCTGTATATCGTTTCATTATGATACGATGACAACCAATGCATCCAGAAGCCAGTGTCTGTTTTGATTCACCATTTTTCAGATTTCCTTTCCTAAGAAAAGTAACAACTTGCTTATTTAATTTTACTGTTTGTAGGAATGCTAATTTGGAAATTTCCGTTAACAAAAATGAATATACGTTTTTATCGCAGTTTGCAATTTTCGTGAGAGTATATGTTTTTGTTATTTCGAGATTTAAATGAAAATGAGAATACATCCTCTCATGCAATTATATATCTTATTTTATTTTAAAATATTACACCTGAAATAAAACCCAGAGCACCTGTTTGGCATATTAAATTGCGAAAATATAAGTTCATTACATGGTTCTAATTTCACTGCACAAGATGCAAATTTCAACAAATAGTATATATACAATGATGATCAAGGCCAACTATACTTGTAAATCCAGCACATACTATATAAAGATATGACATAAAACCTCAAAACCAAATAATAGCTAAAACTGGAAGAAGGATTTGAAACGAAGTATTTATATATATTTTTCTTATCAATAACACTTTTCAACGTCTCAATACTTGTTTTTTTATAAAAAAAAACCTAAAGGGAATGTATGTATCGGTTTTGTTAATGGTATTTTTCTGTTTTTGATTTCAGATTTATGGACCATATTCCAAAGAGGGAAGACTAGTATATTGTTGATTTTAAACAATACAAAACGAAGAACGGTGTACAAATGTATGAGCGTCTAGATATAACAAGAGGTGTTAAAAGTAAATCTCAATTAGACATAATTTCTCATAATGGTGAGATAAAATAGACATGCTGAATTGAATATAGGGTCTTTTATAACATTTATGACTCCCCTAAATTACTGACAAGCTTACATCTTCGAAATGAGTACCTGTAAAATATATTGACTAAAAAACACATGAACAGTACCTATATTTAGAACAACTTTAGATGTAAATCGTTTGTTTTTAAACAGACTTATGGGGCAGAAAATATATGGAATCACAGGATTGCCAGTTTGAATGAGGAAACTTTAACAATGAATTAAGTTATAATTAGAAAATATATCAACAAAAAATGCATGAACAGACAAGTACGGTCCTATACAATTATTCTTATTTAAAATTCTACAACGCTACATTCGTGTTAATAATTTGGAAGATTAAATACAAATAACATGTTAATGAACACGAAATAGAAAAACAAAGAAAATGGGGTATCCATCCACGACACAAAATCAGTACATGCACAGCAAAAAAAAACACATACAAAGTTACTTTTATTGCTGTTTTTTATCTCAAAGTCAGAGTGAGGCATTTCAAAACCAAATTGATTGCTTGAGTTTAAATAAATTGAGTGTTTAAATGTTATACACACATAGCATTAGTTTCATCGAAATTTGAAACTAAAATCATAATATAAGGTGTACCAATATTGCGGTTCTTTTAAGATATTTGAAGACCAACTTGAAATACAAAAATTACAAAAATCTCACACAAATTTTTATCATTCTATCCATAATGTAGATATGTAGGAAAAATATTAAAGTACTTGTTTTATCAAAACGTCGCATACCAGTTAAACAACAGATACTTGGAATAACCAAACATTGCTATGCCCAAGAATAAGGATATTGGAAAAAATCACCAGCATTACTGGTTTTTTCTCAATCTTTGGTAGATTTACATATTCGCGGACAAAAACGCATTTGTGGATAGACGTGACTGAATGCCAAAATATAACAGATCAGTCAATAGAGGTTTTTTTTTCTTTTTTATATTAAGATTTTCCATTTTTTTTTCAATTCAAAAATTTACAGTAAAACAATATGTTTGCCTAATATACAATCTAATAATATTATTAATATTTCATTTTTTTACATTTTTTTATAGTTTCTATTTCACAGTTACTTTGATCGACACTAACGGTATCATGCAAAGTTGAAGAAAAAGGATTCAAAGAATACCATTCACTACTTAACATAGATTATACAAAGATTATTGTCTAAAATATATTTTTTTTAAATAACCCAAACCACCACTATATACACGTTCCACAGCAAGCATCAACCTGTATATTGTAGGTTTTACTTTTCTTGAGGATTTCCATTTTCTCAGGATGTCTTCTATCTGAAGGTACATATCCCTAGGATACCGTGTCATTGTCTCCTCTATGGAACTGATAGTAATTTCTAGCTCAATTCCCAAGAGTATGGCGCAATTACCAAGGTGCTTGGACAAACCATTTAAAACATCATCATGTGGAATTTCTTGCAGTCGAACATCTGCAATATCTACCAGAACATATTTACTTTATATAGTATAATAAATGTTCTGAAAGTATTAAGTAAGTATTTCATAGATGTATGTCTGTCGTTAAAATACTTAAGCTTAAGAAACCATATATTATCAGTCATAAAAATGTCTACAAATATTTACAGGTTTACTTTTAAGATATGAGATTTTGAAAACATGTTTGAAACCAATCAACATCAATGGACTGAAGCAACAGACACAAAACTGTGGGTAAAACAAACATCTTCTTTTTTATATTAAAACATTTCTCAACAACTACTTTTTGAGCATCAAAAAACCAGTAAAAACTCAGATGCTCAGTACGGATAGGCATTTCCGCCAGAAAATGGAAGCCCTCGATTTTTTACCGATGGGAATGAATATACTCCAATTGCACGTGCTTTGCTTAATAAAAGTTGAATGTTAAAGATGTATTCTTCTGAGGTTTTAGTCTCGTTGAAATCTCGTTTGCGAATTATTTCCAAAACATGTGATACAAGTGGAAAATATCGATAAATATATAAATATTATAATCAAACTAAACTCTGTGAAAAAATGGTGTACTTACAATAAGTAATTTTTGAGTAATAAAATTTTCAAATTTTATAACCAATCTGGTATGTTTCATCAGCCAAAAAGCCATAAGGTAAGTATTAGTTTGTACGGTCATTTTTTTTTTTTGGTATACGAGCCAGTATGAAGTTTCAAAACTACAGACTTTTTGTGACGAGTCCAAATGTTGAATAAAAAGAGGACATGCTTGCACTCTAAAAATTTGAAGCCAGTGTGTTCCACTATTGCTGTCATTTGTATTATACAATCCATCATGACATCAAATTCTATCGGTTGATTTATTGATAGTTGCTGTTAACTTCTAAATGAAATCTCTGTATGGACAGTAAAGCTTTAGTTGTAAGCCTATCTTGTCTCACTGGACAATGGTATATCAAACAATGTATACTGATTAAAGGAAAAAAAAACCGAAAGAATATGATGTATTGCACATGCGCATCGTTCATAACATATTTTGTATCGTTTTTGCAATAATATGATTTTTAAGTTATCATCTAAAGGTATAACCGATTAAATGGGAAAATGTATTCATGTTAACTTTCACATACCTTGGGTAAATCCGTTTATGATTAATAAATGTGTTTTTGGAACCCCAAACAATGATAAAAAGTTTGTTGTTTTACCCAAGTGATGATGACATCCTTATGTTTATTAACTTGTAAAACTGGATAATTCCTATTCCTATCGGAAAGTCCCTTAACAAATAGCAAAAGCAAAAGCTCAACCACACCAAACGAATGGAAAACAACTGTCATATTCCTGACTTGGTACAGGTATTTCCTTATGTAGAAAATGGTTTTAACGCTAGCTAAACATATCACTTGTATGGCAGTCGCATACAATTTCATTATATTTAGTTTGAAATTCTCGTTTGAATGTCCCTTTGGGATCTTTTGCCTCTCTTTAAAAACTTTTTATGTATCTTGCACTTTTACATACTAGTTGAAATGGAGTTAATGAAAAGGAAAATATCATATGGAATACGACAGACGAAACGCTAAACTGTACGATTAACACATGATGTAAACGAGAAAACTAACATTCTGATTTATAACACTGTCCCAGGTTAGGGGAGGGTTGATCGCTCACAACCATCTTGAACCCTGCCATTTTTTAAGTGCCTGTTCCAGGTCAAGAGCATGTAGTTCAGTGGTTGTCGTTGGTTTATGTCTGTCATATTTGTTTTTCATAAATTGTATTTCATTTACTCCATGTGTTCATGCTAATCTAAGTATCCGAATTGTTTAATTCTTAATTTTGTGAAAAGTCTAATTCGAGGTCATGGTGTTAGTTTTAGACATTTTCACAGCATAGCCTGACATTCAACAGTCATTTACTGGAAAAACAAACACAATGTTTCACAATGTAACTTATCAAATTACAAGCACTTATTGTCTGCTTTAATGTAAATGTGGTTAACAGTATGTATATGGGTCAGAACAGCCATCTCACACACGTATGAATAACCATGGTGGCAAAAATTACTTAATGGGAAACCTTTCCCCCAGTCATAAAGAATACCAAGAGGACCAAAACATTTGGAGGGTCCTTTGAGCAGTTAAGTGGCGTTATGCGACTGAATGTTTTGTTTTTGTCAATTATATCGACAATCTTTGATAGTTTGGTAGAAACTGTACACATCAACAATGAATCAGTAATGAAGAGCTTTACTAAAGTATATAACTGAACCATTAGATGACGCCATATATGAGTAATTGACCTTAAATGACACGTTATGACACATTTTCAAAATTTTGTCAGTAACTTGAAAATTATTTAAGATTGGTGAAATTTGTAACCAGGACAATTATGAACCATGCAACATCTAAACAATGAGGGATATGACGGAACAAATGAATGACCCTTCCTTAAATGATCTGTTTTAATCTTTGTTTTGCGTCTTTGTCAAAATAAAAAGCAGCCATAGAGAAATTGTAGACCAAAACATTATCAGCAACACAAGATCAACAAAAACGATATTTTGGTCATTTTTGAAAAACAGGGTCTGTAGAGCCTCTAGCCGTTTGCTTTTTTTAAAAGCTCTTTCCAATTTCCAAAGAGATCGTCCGCATCCAATTGGGCTTTATCAAAACTTGGTTTCTAAGATTGTCCTGACGCCTCAAAGCATAGTGTCTCTAAAACGATATACTGAATGTCGACCGACTGACCTTTGAATACCTGTGCGCTTGGACTGAATTCATCAAATTATGTGTCGTCATTATATAAATCGGATTACAAAGTAAGTGACTTAGAATTTCAGTAAAACACCAAGTCAGTGAAAAGAAAACGCTGTACCACATTTATACGTATACAATCTGTACTAAGAGTGAACATCGTGTAACTATCGAATCATGTGATACACATGTGCCACACTGAGTATATTTGCCAACAATTATGGTTAAAACTTAATTATAAGTCAGTACTGTGTCGTATGTAACTTATAGTAATGTAGGTCTTACCAACTAAACCTGTGTCTTCTCTGAACACCTGTATGGAAATTGATGCAGAGAGTGAATTTGATTATACCTTACCTTATAGCAAGTGCTTAATTATGCATTCTATAACTAACAAATAAGTAAATGTATTAAAATTTAAATTGTAAGAAGAGGTTTAAAATAATTCTTTATTGCATTGTTTGGTTAAACACTAAGAAGTAAAGCAAGGAAGGCCTATATTAGGTGAAATATAATGGATTAAGTGATATCATATATAAACAAGTCTTTATTGTCTGTCTAAAGTATGGAGAGTTAAATGAACTACATGTGTGTAATGTTTACAGTATGTATAGACTGAAGGAATTACTTGAAGCTCAAAAGGGGCGAGAATTGTTGCATCAATAAGGTTAGCGCCATCTGCCGTGCAAATCCACAATTAGTCAACATGTCACAATCGAGAATGGGTCACAAACGGTAAATTACAGATCAATCAACTTGTATATACATATCTTAGACTGCGGAAACGTGTCTCTATTAAGTTGAGACACTGACACATCGTATCGGTCAACCAATGTGTGATGCAGTGCCGATTTTTTGTTGTTCTTCCTCATAAATCTGTTTGATCAGTTTTAGTGAGCATACAACTGTTAACAAAATCAGTATAGTGTTAACATGCACGACCTTTGAGTATTAACTGATATATGTTAACATCATACGACGGAACGGAGAGCAATTTACTGCTGAGAAATGGGAAGTTAAATTTTGAAAGATGAAACCATCACGTTTGTCATAGAATCGTGTTTGAAGTCGTCAAATTGTGTCAATATTGAAGAAAAGATCACAAAAAAAAATGTCTCTATATTTAATGTGTTGTTAAAAAGGGTTTTGACAAATCAAATAAGAAATGGCCAATGCATTTGACCAATGTTGTTTGAAGCAACAATTGCAATAGTTGTGCCAAAAAAATATAAAACATTATTATTTCCATATTTAGAGTGCAATATTATTAGTTCACTCTGGTATCCTTACTAATTATGTTTTAATTATGTTGATACTGCACATGTCAGATTTTTAAATTATATTGCTTTTCATCAAAGTCAAATGTTACTTTGATTACTGAAGTTAGTTTGTCATTGAATTTTAGGGCCAATATTGACCATTCGTGAACCTACAACATAGTTACAAACCTACTTTTTGAATTTTACTATATGAAATTATCAGTTTGTAAAAAGTGCGTGTCCCTATCGTTTACCTGGATTAACCGTCATTAGGAACGATCAACCGGAAATATTAAAACGCCGAGAATGTATGAGCACCAAACTACATGTGTAAATGTAGGAGCTATCACACCAAAAAAGAAAAGAAAAGAAAAGCCATATCCATTTATGTCTATTTTCCTTGATGAAGTTGCAACCTTGTTTTTTTTTGTAAATCTTAATTATCAACGGAGAATAAAATCATATCAGTACCGAGCTAATAACCTCTGGAATTCACTGTCTAACAGCAGTGTTATCGATCAATGCGTATATACCAAAATAACACTTTATTCATTCGATGCGTCCGAAACGTAACTAAATAAAACGAATAGTATAAGGATTTCACTATGATGAAAAAGAAAATGAATTGTGCAATAGAATATTTTCAGAATAATAAAATAATAAATCGTTCCATCAACCATACACAAATGTGAAATCACCGGTTAAATCGGTATAAATCATTAAATATTTAAGTTTTTTTTCTCATTTCGTCTTTCGAAAAAATGAAGACAACAAGTTTGAAGCAACATCAGAATGCTATTTTGATATTCTCAATTTAAATTCTATACCGTTGTTGCTGGAAACAAGCCCGTTTATTTTTGTACAATTAATGATGTTGTTATGTTGCTGTATGGAATTGTATATGCCGTACAGCCACCTATCGCAATAGTTTAAAGTGTAGAAGAAAAGATTTATGTCACGGACGCCATGTTGAATACATTAAGCCTGCAGTCAGTACCTGTGAGCGTTTAAACCGTATAATATTGCATATTACTGTTTTGTTTCGCATATATGAGCTTTTGTGTGATGTATCATGCAGTTACTTTAGAGTTAAATTTGTATTGTATGCTCTATGATGCATATGTTTCTATTCCACTGATCGAGACTTAAACATGGAAGGTAAGATCTGATGCAATACAATAAGTCACATCACATCCTGATATTTGTATATCAAGACAAAACCGTGTTAGTGATTTTATTATGTACTATCTTGATAGGTTGTTATCTAGGATTTTGCTATTTATGACGATATTTTGTGAGTTTGTCAAACGTTACTTGTGTTTACACTTGGGGCGATTGAGGGGTTGACATACTTTGTGAAACCTGTTTATTTATGAGACTTTGTTAGCTCATTTCGTTGGATAACGTTGCTAAACAAACAAAGGAAAAATCAAACCTTGCAAAGTAAATGCCTTCCATCTTTAATGTGTTCTTGTGCTTTAAGCAAATCATTAAATGATTTGGAAGGCTTCTCCTTCAATGCCATAAATCTCATAATCAGAGGCTGCTTTTGGTAGACATATTCAATGTCTTCCCACTCTGTCGCTTCTATCCCAAGATACACCATTAATTCTTTACATTTATTGATACTTAGCTGCTTGGCAAGTCTTGCAAGGTGTTTGTCTGTTGGTGTCTTTATCAGAATGGTTTTATCAAGACCTATGAATTAAGATAATTAACAAATTACTGATTTACGTAAATAGACGTTGCAATGATGCAAATACAAACGATTCATTCATTACATCATATAAAGAATTATGTTTCAGCAATATATGATTTATTGAGGTTTAGTCTTAATACCATTAACGGTAAACTTCTCCTGCATCAGATGTGCAATTGGACAGTTAATGTCAGTGATGCTCGAGGCCGTCATATTTGAAAATATTTTACAAAAATGGGGAACGAAGCAACTTAAACAGTGTTGGTAATATCCCATCATATACATCTGTTTTTTTTCCAAATGAGGTAGATAACCTTAGTATCCAACTTCAAATGATAACTGCATGTATGTATATATATATCGATCAAAAAGAGTGAAATTTTATAGACATTATTTTATGTATACAAGAATATATAATTAAAGAATAGATGTCAATGTGAATATAGAGTCGCTACATAGTATAGTATTTTGCTGTTTTAGAAAATACAACAATAAGATTATCGTTTATCATGTTTATATAACCAAAGGTTTATATTTTAATATAAAAAGTCTTAAACACGGCAATCTGTCAAACACAAACTTGTCCTTATGTCTGGTCTGGAGCAGACCTGTTCTCAGGACTGCTCAAAAGAAAACCTATTCACAGATCTGGTTTGGAGCAGACTTAGTAGGTCTGCAGCAGTCCTATACAACCAGACCTAGGTCTGGTCTACCAATGTCAAAGTGAACTTGTTTGTCTGCTTAGCATTTCTTAAGTTAACTTGGAAAACAGTCAACAATTCTGATCAAAGTTAACGTTTGAACAGGTTAGGAGAGCACCTAATTGAACTTTTGGTAGTTTGCTTAACATAAAGTTCACTTAAATAAATTAGTTGTAATCACTCATTGAAATATGTGCTATTGAGAGACATCATCAATATATCTGAGTTTGAAATTAAAGAATTTTGCAATATGCTTTCTCTTTTTGTCTATAAGAGGTGTCTGTATACATTTTGGTTCATTTGAATACAAAAACAAATCGGTCAGTAGTGGTGCAAAAGTAGTATCAATTAGGTTACTGACTGCCTGCTGAAATATTAATCCAACTAATTCAAGAAATATGTTGTCAATCAAAAAGTCCAGCATTTTGATGCTATCATCTTGGTGTATTTGTTTTGTGGAATTTGTGTGTTTCTTTACAACGTAAGATTGTTCATGACCCCAAACCAATGAATTGGTATCTTCAAGTCCTATTTTGTACGACAAGCTCTGTTTGATTAGACGATGTAGTCGATCTTTCAGTTTGGCATGGGGGATAGTAGTGTTAGAGATAGAAAAATCAAAGATTGTAATTGGAGGTTTTGAGAGCAGATCTTTAGACTACTCATATGATTTCAACGTGTGGTTAATTAAACTTCATCACAGTTTTTCCGACGGCAATCTTTTGCTATGGAAAAAAAGATGGTTAGAACTTAAAAAAGATGTTAAGTTGAATATTTTGATGACCCGGCTATATATCATTCTTTATAAAAAAAAATGGGAAGTATAAAGATGTGAGATTGTCATCATCCTATTTACTGTTGATACAAAAGAGAGAGGGCCGGATTTGTCCCCCTAATTGATGTAGGGATATACGCGGGTCCCCAGTTTTGCTTTGAATTCACCATCTTTTATTTATAACAAATTGATATGTACAAATCAAAACTATATTGAGTGAGGCATTTTTTGATGGAATAGCAACACGTTTGTCGAACAGAGAAAAAAAAGCATCAACAAACTCGCTCCTCTCAAAAGTATTAGAGACACGTATGATCATTTCATATCGTATATCACGAATGCGCATCTGAATTCATTACCGAACAGCTTTGGTCAATTCGGATAAAATGTCTAGTGATGTGGTTATCCATTTTCTGGCAAAGTCCTCAACTGCACAAATAAGTAACCGGAAGTTCTTTTCCAGTTGATCTATGACGTAAAATATTGCTAATATGGCGAGCATACAAACCTTTTTCAGCGATCTCTACTTGAACAAACTACGTTTTTTCATCATCATTGAATGTAGTTATCACATGTTTAAAATGGCAAATGATATGCAATGTCAATAGCGATTGAAAATGGTCTGTATTTACAGAATTTGATGGTCAAGTTACTTTGAAAACAGGTATCGATAGATAATAAGTATATCACAGTTTTACAGTTTTTACAATTACATTTACAAATAAAACAATGCTGCAACTTGTCATTGAAACCGAATATATATTTGAACTGTACGGAACATGACCGAATATAGATAGAATGGTCTGAATATTTTTAGGTCGTCAATGAGGAATCTGACCACTAAACCAAGGTCGTTTTTAAGACATATTTTGATGTGATCCTAGGGACACCTACAATATATCTCATTAGGAGTTGTTGAGTCCTTGACAACATCCGATGTTATGTACAACTTGAAATAGCAGTAAGTGTAGGTTTCGATTAATTTTCTTAAACAGTTGAATTTACTCAGGGTTATTTAAAAGTCTTAGATCTAAAGATACCAAAATAGTCGTCTGATCTGTTCCTCAATGAGATCTGAACATCGGTAAACTATATAACTACCGTTTTCTTTATTTAAATTATTTACCTGTACAATTTGATTGACATTTTTTCTGTGCCTGAAAAACGAAAATTGCACTTTAAAGTACCTCATAGCGGTTTTGTATCATATTTTGCACATAAACATGTAAATAAACCGTCACAGTTCAAACAATATCTAAAAGCGTTACCCCCAGATGATACAAGAACATTTTAAATGCTCAAGTTGTTTATCATCCTAGTTTTGTTATTGGGGTTTGTGTTTGAAAAGCGAGGATTGTAGTAGATTCTATAACTAATCTAATGAAATGCACTGTTGCTATTTAGAAAAGTATCTTCATCGTATTAAGCCTCCTTATATAATGATATGTATGTTTTTTACTACTAATCATGCTCATGTATTCAGACCCACAAGCCGTATATCATATCAACGTCCATAGAAATTCTTCTTGCATGCTTACAGAATATTTGAAGAGACAGTACACCATTTGTTCTGCATATAAGATATACTGTCCGTTTAAGAGACGGCGATGTATCGGGAGTATAGGCTGATCAGGTAAAATCAGCACGATTTGTCATAAGTAGAAACATTTTTTAAGGTACCCACTTTTATCAACATATACATCAATAATCTGAGCTGTTTGGAAGACGTCTATAAAACAGAACCCAACGACATAATTAAAAATATATTTTTGTTAAATGACACGGAAGATGTTACTTACCTTATCGAAGAACCATAGCCGAGAACATTTGGTATCATGATTAATTCCTTTGTCACAGACCCAGTGTGAAGCGTGTACTGCCTTTGAAATGGACACTACACATGGAGATCTGTCACAAACCTCTCCAATGTCAATCGGAAAGAGGTTTGACACATTCATTTTTCGGTAGCTCTTTCCAATACTGCTAATATAGAATGTTAAAACAGCCTCTAAAGTCACTGTCAAACATTCTTGGATACTTGCAGCAATATTTGGAGAGATGAAATGCTTAGATAACTCGTGTGTAAGGTAGATGATGACCCTCTTATCCTCTACTATTATTCGTAATTCGGTTTGTTCATCAACACATAAGACGGCTGAGGAGTGGTACAATAATGGACAGTCGTTCAATTCCTTGATGGGCCAGATACCACTTATCGCAACAATAAGTTTAAAAGACAATGCTGAGGGTATGGACGACTTCTGTAATCGATAGACCAAAGATATTGTTCTGTTTGAAAACGATTTGTCATTCAGAAATGATATTGGCATTCTGTGCTTGACTGTGCATGGAACTAAAAAATAGTCTACTTGTGTCTTACTCTTAACTGAGTATCTTTTAGGTATCACCAAAACATCGAGATGTACGAGAACCTGTATAACGAACGTCTTGAAGTCGTCATCTGGAAAGTGATCGTTGAATGTTTTCTGTTCCCAAAGTTTCAAGAGATCTCTTCTGTATATCTTTCCAGTATCCGTCATTCTACTTAGAATGTTTCTAAGGATGTCATCCTCGGGCCAAAAGATGTCATCTGTGATGAATGACCTCAGGATGTTGACCAAGGCAGGTGGATAAAGGATAATGAAATTATTAAGTTCTGGTTGATTGAAGTACATGATTTTGCCCAATGCGTGTTGTGTTAGGAGAAATTCGTCTAGTTGTTTGTCAGAGAGTGCTAGATCTCCATTCATTGTGTTTGCTTCAGCTAAATGTGTTTTAAGTATAAAATTGACATTATCTTTCTTCATATTGTTGATCAGAAGCTCGAGAGGAACCCAAACCATAGGCCGTCGTATTCCCCAAGATGGCTGGTTACGGGCAATGCTGACTAGCTGGTTTTTCAAATTCTGAATTTCCTGATCGTCTTTGTCTGTACCATTTATGAAGAAAATGGGATCGAAGACAAAGTGTTTATTCCTTTCATGGGCACCAAACATTTCAGTGACTTTCTTTCCAAATTCAATTTTCATCTTCTTCTGCATATCCTGGAAGTAAAATGATACTAAAGTAAAACATAACATAAACTGCTAACTTTAAATAACCTATACTGAGACAAACTGCAGCCAAAGATTCATATGTACTCAGTTAAAAGTATTAATCAACATTCAATGACACATGTTTTCAATATATTATAAGTAGGGACATATAATCAGATTAAACCGCACCAATGCTCAACTGAGTGTTTTTGCAACGCTGCCATTAATACGAAATAAAGCCCATTTACTTTTCAATAGGATTGCACGCAGGGTTGTGCTTAGCATACACCCGCTCGCTTTTCTATATATCGACTAACAGGAAGGAATTTAACTAACATATCCGAGGTGCTGTTTATTTACTACAAACATCTAAGTACAAAGACATTTCGTTTTGCTTTCAAACTTTCATGTACTGCTTTTAGAATAGTGTTAGTAACGATGTGGATATTTGTGTCTGTATCTTTTTTACTTTAAAAAAAATGTGTCTTTGAGATCAGTCTTTTGATACTACATGCACATAAACCAATGCTTACCTCCGAAAGACGGTCGCTATGCGTTGCAGCAAACAGAATCATAGGCATAACATCACTATCATCGACACAGTAGGTGAGTATTGAATTGACCCAATGTCGCACAATAGCTAGAAAAAAAATGAATACTACAATTAATATCGTCCTTTCGTTTGCTTTCATTACCTATGCGATACTTACCGGGCCACTTACCATATGTTTCCTTAACATCTTTATATAAATCAACCTTATTAAGACATTTAAAAACAGACATGTACGAATAATGAAAACAGAATGTAAAACTGTCTTTGAATTGAACAAAACATTTTGCATTGCTAGATACTTAAAAGCTTACTATACGGATGGATATTCCTCATTGTTGAAGGTCGTACAGTGAATTGTGTTTGCTAATATCGTCGTCATTTGTCTAAAGTGGATTATTGAATCATTGATCAATATACCGCATCTTTTTGTTTTTTTAAATATATACTATCATGACTGCCAGGTGTGTGCTTTATAAATACGACAATAAGTTGCAAGTCTACATTGCAATAATAAACAACAAAAAATCCTTCACTCACAAAAGTTATGTTGAAAGGTAGAGTATAATATTTGTTATAAAAGCAGTCTAAACGGATTTTGTAATATTTTTCTGTCACACTAAAATACATTATTTTCATTCTTACTTTCGTTAAATCAAATGTATCAAAATTGGTATTACTCTGCTCAATTAATGGATGGTCTTTTTTGAAGAAAAAATGTAATAATACGTTTGCGTCATCGAGGTTTATGCAAGGTGCAGGCTGTGCAAAAATATTTGAGAAGAAGAAAGCTCTTAGTATGTGCTTTCAGAGAGAAAGAAAAAACCGTTTGTTTGTTGCAAAAGAAAAAAGGTAAATACTGTGTTCGTTTCTTTATAAAAAAAAATTTTTTTCTTATCAATCAAACCTGCTATAACATTTTATTTTCAATTTTGAATCGATGAAAATATTCCTTTCATTTTAATAAAACAATTCACCATTTTTTCATCAAATTTCCTAGTTTAAAAAAAAAAAACATCTAAGAAAAAAATAAGTTTGAAAGTTGTTTACAGACACCACAATTCAACCCTTCGAACTTGCTGGACTACATGTTCCATTTTTCCATTTCTTACAGCACTTCCGTCATCATTAATGGACTTGACGAAATTAAAGCTACTGCAGATTGAAACTTTGTAATTTCTAGATAGCTGAGTGATTGTATATACAAACCACCGATATAAACGAAAAGTCAAGTCTTTTTTGTTGTTGATACATGTCTTGTTTTGTGGGATTTAAACGAAATATGGTGCATAAAATGAACCGGAGGCGAGCAGATAGCAATATTTAAATTGTACTGTCTTTCGGAAAATACGAATACATTGGGAACTTATATAAGCTACTGTTATTGACAATAATGATGAATGAGATAAGACCACATTAAATAGGTGAAATTAGTAAGATAATTTAAGAAATATTTACTAAATAACTAAAAAAATATTAAATATATTAAAAAAAGGGGGGGTTCAATTCACCAAGCGCCTGTGGCTTGTTACCTTCATTTGTCTTCTTAAACAAGTTATGAGCTTTTAACATCGGTAAACTCTTGTTGTCTGAATATAACTATACCGAACATCAGAGTACTTAGATATCATGTATTGAAACGGGTTATTTTTTTTTAACTGAGCATACGTTATATTTATTTTTTTTATGAATATTCGTTTAAATGAATTCATCAATATACACAATAGTATTGCAAAATAAATTTGAGAAAGGAAAGGTGAACTGTGTATCGCGTATGCCACACACGTGTATAATGAAATATGTAATGGCGTAAATTGCAATTTAAAAGTTTAAACCACTCAATGATTGTTAATACCCTGTTTAATTTAAGAGTTGTGCTTTTTCAACACAATAATTGGATTAAGTTTATGATCGTTCTAATTGTTTGATGAAATAAAGTAACCGCAAAAGATTCATTACATTAATTTACATTAGATATGTTAATAAATGCCATTTGTATTATTGTTTTTATGTTTTTAATGATCTATGTTTTAATTAAATTAAACATTGTCCATTGTCATTTAGGTTATACTTACATTCATTAGAAATGTCTCCCGTAGGATATTCCTTCAGTGGTTCATGAAAATCCCTACTACCATCAAACATCACGACAAATGTCCCGCCATGCTGAACAAATAACTGATGGGTCATATCATACGATCGTTGACCACCAAAGTCGACCAGATCTGAAGGTGCAATCTTGATTTTATATTGACCACTTTTAACTTCCTTCAAAATGTCGTCACGTACTGCATAGGCTTCAATTTTTTTCATTTTTGGCAGACTGATCGATGTAGCTTTTTTTCTTTCAGATATGATGGTACTTATCCCTGGTAAATCTTGAGATTCCCTTATACAAGCATCGGATGAATGAGATACTTTGGAAATTGGACTGATATCCTTCATTATCATCTTTACATTTGATTCCATATTATCAGATGACGTAGCTGATGGCACAATCTGCTGGTCCATGTGAGTGTAAGAACTTTGACAAGTGCTTGTATCACGATTTGGCCTACCCATTACCACCTTGGTCAACACATTTTGACCTCTATCTTCTACAAGAAAGATTGTTAAATTTTTCGGGAAATACTAGACACAAATTGGGATCGTTTATCTCAGGAAATCAAATATATAATGAAGTAAACCAATAATGACACAAAAATATATGTGCATATTGCATTGTTTATTTGATGAACAAGATCAGAGAGTTTATGTATAGATTACTTTATCAAAGCTTTTTAGATGTAATGTGTTTCAGGTTTTATGTGTCTCTAACCTAAATGGGAAAGTGGTTTAATAAAAAAAAGAAGGGAGAAAATACACTATCGTTATACTTAATTATTATATAATTTTTTTTTGTTTATTCATGTTGAATAACTTCAACTCTCTTTCGCTGTGTTATGAAATTCTCTTTCTTACAATTAACCATATTCACTCAGTACAATTTTCAAACAACATTTCATGTACCTCCTTTTAAAGGAACCATCTCAAAAGTTTCCAAATTGATACCATTACGCCCAAAGTGTATGACTAATCCATCAGTTGATTTCCATGTAAGTGGTATTTGGCTACCAATAAGAACACTTGCTAGGGTGGACTTTCCACATGCACAACTTCCACAAAGGAAAACTCTATTTTCAAACGATTCATATGTTCCAGTGGACAGCAGTTTGCTGAATTCTTCAGAGGTGCCAGCAAAGGGAAATAAATGAAAAGGGTTTACTAAAATGATAAATTGAGAATCATTATCAGTTCATTGTTGTGTATAAACTGAATAATGCATAATATGTTCTATCCAGTAATCTAGTGCAGTATTTGTGTCAATTATTACAAATATTTTTATTTTCAAACAGTGGATTGACTGGAGTTTCAATGTTTGAAAACTGGCAAGATCATTGCTTACCAATGACAATATATTATATATATTTGTTTTATCTTGGAAATGATATCAATGATACGGGATAAATTTGATTTCAAATATTGATGTTTGTAAAATACAACGCAAAAAAAATAGATATTGGTCAAATAATGCAGCCGTCAATCGATGCTATCAAAATACAGTTGCATAATAATGAAAAATGATAGCAATACTAATTATAAAGCGCACAATTATAAAGATCAGATGGTCAGGAACACTTGATTGTAATTGAAGATAGATGAAGCATAAGTCCTCATAAACTTTTTATGGTTTTTTTTAATTCTTATATGTAACAACGACTGCACAGCCTTCAACCTATAAATTGGCTTTTTCAAGTTTAGATACCATTATAGTCGTCTTATGTTTAATTTTACTGACTGTGTATTATTCCCAATTATGAAATGTTGACTGATTGTGGATTCGCATGATGGGTGATACATGCATATCAGGAGACACTTACCCTGTCTGCGTTTCCAGTTTCGCTCCTTTTTGAGTTGTTTCAATTCCCTTATTGTTTTGTTTGTTACTTTTATTTGTCTCTTCTTAATCGATTTACGAGATTTGATCATCGGTAAGCTACGATCGTTTAAATTCATCGCCTCCTTTAACTTCAACTTATAAAAATCAGCCTTCGTTTCGGATCGATATACATATATATACATTAAAAATTGTTAGACACTTTTTTTAGTCCAGCGCTACATGTATCTTAGAAAATAAATCAGATTGTATCCAGACAACACTAATATAAGGTACAGTCATAAGAAATAAGGTCTATAAAAGTTATGCAAATCGTGTGTTGGTTTGTTTCAGACCAGCAAATGTATAAAAATAGTAGCGGGAATCTTGAATGATGACTTACAAAACTACGTAACAAATAATTAGAACCGATACCTCGACGATGACATTATATTTTGGAGCAGATAAAAAGAAGACCCGTAAAAGTTTCGAGACTTGCTAATTACCATACATACGTCTTCGAACATTCACAATCATTATGAAAAGTTATCACTGATATATATTGCAAACTTACGGACACTTTTTTTTTTCAATTTCAAACATTTACGAGTTGGGGTCATTATACCGTTATTTACACATCAGACCGTACTGGGTACTGGAACTTTGGAAACTCAAAACCAAGAACTTCATATCGGAGAAAAATGCAATATATACCCTCAATTTTAAAATTCATTCATACATTTTTTTTATTATTCAAAACTATCAGTCAAAAAGGTGTTTTACAAGGATCGCCAGTACTTCACCTCTCATTTGATACCTTACTTACCATAATATATTTTACATAGCTTGATATGTACACCTATGCACAGAATTTTTTTTTGTTTTAAACATATTCTATTTTCCTGAATGTTCTTATTTACCAGGCCCGAGTTGTGCTGTTACATATAACATAGTCTATCCGAATCAGTTGCCCTATGCATACGTTATAACAGTATTCTAACAAGTTATTTAACATTTATCTGGATGTACCCAGTGGTTTTTTAAATGTTTGCATTGATTGTTGCAAGCTTCAGTGTGATTGTCGGGTTATATTATAACTAGACATGTTTGTTTTCTAGGCAGATTTATTTTATTGATATTTCTCTATTGCATTGTTCATCAATTCACAGTTCTGGTATGATCGTTAGCTTGCAAAGAATTCCGATTAAACCGGTAATAGAGACCGCCTCAAGCTTGCAGTGATTTGAGAGAGTGTTTTTGTTTCGTATTGAAGGCCTCAATGTGACTTCGAGATTAAGAACAGCAAAACAAACGCTGTTCCTTTATTATTTTTTTTCTGCTTTTCACATACTAATTTTGTGTCATAGATGGATACCAAATATCCTTTCTTTCCTATTACACATCAATACTTACATATCTATTCGTGTCATACTTTTTTGACAAAATTGTACGAAAGGGAATATAACATTTTGAATGGCCAAAAGGATATTTGCCATTTTATCCAATGGAAGACGCTGACTCTTTAATTACATAAACGACAGACATGTTTCAACAGTGGTTTCCGAAACAACTACTTCATGATGGTATACAAAAGGCAAAACGTTTACCAAAACAAGAACTAATAACTCCGAAGGAAAATTGAAAAAATGTCACAAGTATTTTATTTATTTACACATATTACCCGAAATTACATAACATATTTAACTCCATGCGATCAATTATCCCGTCCTTCAATCAAATCGAGAGAATAAAAAAAAAAAAAAAATAGATCCAAAGAATAGAAAATATACAGTCGACGGAATCCTACAAATCGGAAGAAGCACTTGACAAGGGCCACAATTGACACAAATCAGGGTTAATTTTCAGTGAAAGAATATAATGACACTAGATCCAGTGTATGCTCAAACGGATACAGTTTTTGTATAGAAACCAACAGTAAAAATAATCCTAAATGGGAATATATTCCATAAAACGCAAATATTACCTGTACAGATACATGATGTAAGTCATTCACTTTTACTTTTACGGATCCCTTCCCTGAATTGTCCAACAAAGTATATAGATTCGACCAACAACAACATTTGTGAACGGGTTCATGTGCACAAAGAACACAGAAAAAATCCCCAATATCGGAAAATTCCACCAACGTTTTAGATGATATATAGAAATGTTAAATGATACCGTTTTTTAAATGAAATAGAGAAAGTAATGCAAACGTAGAAGAAATTGAGCACTTTGTTATAAAAGCAATTACCCCGATGCTCACTACCTACTGCAAGTACAGCGTAAACAATGACATACTGTTACTAAACCTCATCAACAACGTTCTCAATAACAGTCCATTAACAGTTTTGACAAGTCCATTCAGATGAATAAAAGCCCTAGACACTAAAACACAATTTATCACATTTACTATTGATTGTTTTTCATAGATATAAACAAGTTATTTGCTTGGGGTATTGGTTTTCATTTGAGATTCAAAAATTGTGTTTCCCATGAAAGCTGTAATTTGCACTAAATTATTCGCATTTGTACGCATAGTGACACACTTAACATTGCTGCCTTCCTGCACCTTTGTGTTGTTTGGTATATTGATTTCTATATTCACATGTAATTCCAACGATAAACAAAACTTTTCGTAATCTAGACGATTAGTTTACAAAAATAAAAGAAAGACAGTAATGACCTTAAAATTAATGAAAAATTCAAAGTAGTTCATTTCTCGAAAGTCGAAAAGACAATTGGTTGATTGATTGTTTTTGTTTGTGTTCTACACCGAGTTGCAAATATTTCGTGCATAGTCAGTATGAGATCAAAATATCCAATGAGTGCCTTAGGTAGGTCCTGCAATAGGTGATCAACTTGGATGTAAACATATACTTTTGAACTAATTTCAAACCGATTAGAACGAAAAACAAGAAAATGGTTCATATTAATGAATAAACAGTTTTTGAAACTTTCATAATATGTAGAATATGTTTGTCATGATGGTACCAACAAATGACTGCTGAAGAACGAGGATTCAATGTCACAAGATTATACGATACTTTTGTGTATGAACTTTAAATAGGACATACATGTATGTGACATGTTTCTCATTACGGTTGGGACTTTTTTGTGGTACTTCCGAAGTTTCGGTTCTTAAATGCAATTCGAAGTTTCAGAATCTAATGCATTCTGGGATTATTTTCAAAAGCGTACACCAAAAGGTTTTGATTGGCTAAGAACGCTCTATACAATGACATTTCAACCAATGACAAGACGCTATTTTCATTTAGGGGTACGAACAATGAAATTACCCGCAATCCTTTGGGTTCTGAAAACAGCGAACTGAATCTATATTGATTTGTTCCGCATAAGGTATTGCTATGACAAGAAATGACTATCCCTATATTTAAACTTTTGATGAAACGGCTTTTGTGGCTTGAAAATAATCTAATATACAAAGCCATTGGATCATGCCAGTGTTTTGCCTCCAATCACATATATAATAAAGAAAAACACAAGAAACTTAAATATCAGAAGTGATACCTATTCCCATCATGATTGATCACATTTGATATTTGTTATCATGTTTAATCGTCTTTGTTTGCTGCAATATTCTATTAATGTCAAATTACAGTCCTTAAATTATTAAAATATGTTTTTCAGCCTGTTGTGGTCATACAGTATATACAGAACCTGAAGTTTCAATGTTTGCATTATTGTGAATTTAGATTAATAACAACATTCTTCTATAGCTAAATGACAGCTTATGTTCAAATTATATTTTGATTGTTTTAAGTTTGTTTTGTTCTTAGTGTAGCAATTTATACTTTACAGTTCATTTCATCACAAGCTACAATATGACTACCTGAAATTGAAGAATGAAATTAAGGAAGAAACAAATACACTAGTGGTCTGTCTCCTTTTTTTTTGCATCTGCTTTTCAGAAGAACAAAGATATCTTTTTTTTACTTACATATGTCAACCGGATACCTTACTTTCCAAAATATGGTTAGATAACTATAACAAACGATAGCATTTTGAAAATAGCATTTATCTCCATTCTTTGACAATGTTGACCAATTATGTTGTTTTCTTACGAGAAACGCAGTTTGATACGTTCCGACATGGTCATTGCAAACAAAACTCCTACTTTTGAAAACTAAAAATCCAAAAAATCAAATATACAAAAACTGCATAACTTAACGAACAATGCTTTACTATTCTATAAATATGTACGATTCATAAATCAACATGACAAGGTTTATGTTGAAACACAGTTTACCTCCCTCGTTTTCAGACGTCTCTTGTAGTGTTTCGTCTTGTTGCATAACAGTCGGAGTGTCTTTAGGGCCTCTTTTGTCATTGGTCATATTTGACTGCAACATATAAATACAATGTATAAATATCACTAGAACCTTAAATTGGTATAATTAAATTGTAGAAAATAGTAATCCATTAGATTGAATTTGTTTAGATAAGAAAACAAAACATATGATTGGAGATATTTAAGACTGTATTGGTATCTACTTTAATTAACAGTTAAAGCAATACACGTTCCTTAGCTCGTATTTTTCCAATCTATGTGGTGTTTTTTATTTTTTTAATCAAATAGATAATTATGGTCTTACCTTTGGTTTCCCTTTAAACAGTTTCCAACACCATTAAAGAAGTAATAATTTACGGGATATGCGTACACAGATTTTATTGGGAATTAAATCTATACATGATCGATAAATCTGTACACAACGATCTGGAGCGTATAATAAGCCCGTGTAGAAAACAAATTCTAACGGCAAGATTTTATTTTCGATATGGACACTCGGAACATTTTCAATAAGACGAAAGATAATTGATATGTTTAATTCTAAGGTTGTCTTCTAAGGTAAAAGGTGTTGCTTTTCCGCCGGGTTTGCTGTCAGTTTTCGGTAAATTATTATGTTAACTATTCATGGGAAACATCCAATGTCTATTAAACAGAAAAGCCCACGTTTGTGTTATAAATTAATTGGTTATTACTCTACAGTCTGAAAAGATTTGTGAAAACGAAGAACAGGTATCGCTACGAGACTGTATAGTTGTATAACAGCATAGTTCGTTAAAGTTAAACTGAAATATAAACACAAACAAAAACAAAAAAACACCTAAAATGGTTCTTGACAAGTAACAGGCACATACATATTCCAAATCCAATAGCATGACATGTGGTTTCTGTTTTGGTTTATGTATTTTAGAATTGAAAAAAGTCAGTTCAAATTTTTTGTAGTTGTTTTTATTCTATATAATGCCATGTCCATTGCAAAAGATGTCAAGCAAATATTCAATTTGATTGATTACATTTTTTGTGTTACTTCATAATTGTAACCGTTCCGTTGAGTTCTTAATACCTCACAAGCAACAACTTTGATAGTATAAAACTGCTGTGTTTTATTAGGACATAAATCATACCATATATAATAACATGTACGGTACCATTCTTACTGAATCAATGCTCATTTCGACAACAAATGTCTCTTCGGTGATGCTTTGGGTCTAAATATTTGAATATCCAAAACTTATTAGAATATTGAAAATTTTATAAACAAAAACAAAAGACAAAATGAATAGCAAAAGCCGTGCTTGGAATCAAAGCTTTGCATGAGGGAGATATTTTAATTAATTTCAAATAATTTCAAGGATGTTTAAACTGCAAATTTAAAAACTTATATCCGTATTTTCATGCCAATACCTAAGTAATGGCTACTGTGTCGTAAACACTCTCCGGAATTAGCAGTATTCCAGCACAGGTACATGTACCGTCCGAGTTGTAGGAATAACATTAACGCTACCAATTTTACTGTACAATATGTGTATTTCTATAATAATTGTCTCTTTATCTGTATCTGATATTTAATATCTAAAAATATTCAAAAATCCAAAACTAATTAGGAAATTGATGAGCAGATTAAACCAAAAAAAGTCAATGCCGGGCAAGGAATCGTAACTTTGCATCAGGAAAATATATTCCTTAATTTCAAATATTTCAAAACTTGTGAAAAGTTTAATTACACAATATGCGTGTATATATATCTAGAACAACATTGTAAGTTCAGCTGTTTATAAATATATATGAATAAAATGAACAAATTCGCAAGAGACAACATTTAGTACTACGTTCAAAATCACATATTCTCTGACGTTCTTATTCCTCTTGGCGCCCATTGAGCCGATGTAATTGTGGTCCATAGCAGTTTGAAGAACATTTGTTCATATAGCGCCGTCAAGACGTGCTCAAGAAATAACTTTTTTAAAAGTTTTTGTCCTTCTTTTTTTTCAGTTTGAATCTGCAGGGAAAAGTGTCTATAGATCTATCTTTTGTGTAGTATAAGAAGGTTTGTTCGCATTACGTATTACAATAGGGTTGTACGAATTGTATGTTTCAATAAAGGGAATAACAATGCATCTTTTTTTCTTGACTTAATGATTTAGTGGTAAAGTGTTTGTTTTTTTTTCAATACCACGAGTCACTAAATCTTTGGGGCAAATTTGCCCCTATAAATAGTATTTTAGTTTCTGTAACCGTTGTTTCCATATTTCGATATTTATTACTTTTGTACATTTCTTTTGCATGAAAGAGGAATCAAAATAGTCATGTTTGTTGGTTAGTTTTTAGGTAATATATGATGTCTCAATGCTTTAAGTTATCAGTATACTTGCTACTGTTATTATGGAATTTCATTGAAGGGCTTATGTTATAGATTAGTCTGGGATCGTTTGTAATGCCGTGATTGTTTTATTCCAGACTATAAAACAGTTATCTATGAAAGGATTCCGTTTTTTTTTGTATGTATGCTGAAAATACGAGGTCAAATTCAATCTTTAACATTTCATACGTATTATGGTCAATAAATCAAATCGCCAAATTTCTTATGTTGGCGAAACCGTAGTTCCAATTGCCAGGATAATCAGGTCTGAACATAAAGGTGAATTATTAGAATCTATTTTTTTTTATTAAATCGGAAAAAAAGAATAGCTTTAAACAATGTTGCAGACAAGATGAAACACAGATTAACTCATTTTCTTTAGTTTGCTTGTTTGCCTTGGATTTACGATTCTATTGTAAACAAAGTGTTCAAGAAAAAGTTGTATAGTGCCCATAATTGTGAGGTATTTTATGTATTTTGAAGGAACGTTTGAACTTCTTCGCTAATTTCGGTTATATTAGCTATTGTACGTTTGTATGCGAGAAAAATGTATTGAGAAATGTGAACATGGAAATGACAAATATCAAGTTTGAAATGAGAGATTTTAACAATAAAATGTCTCTCTCTGTCTTACGTATCCAGAGATATCGAGACTACTGATTTGTTATGCTGACAAAACCGTTTGTTGTACAAACAAAACTGACATGTCATCATGATCAAGACTTATGATTTGAAAAGAAGATTCAGTATTTTGAATTAAAATAGGAAATGTTAGTACTAAATTCAACCGACAAACGTATTGTAGTGAATGTGTACCGATATTTCTGTCATTTATATTATCATTTGAATCCATTCTGAGTTACCAAATTAACTAATGTAAAAGACATAAATCATTGTTTGAGTACAAATATAGCAAGTGTTGATTGGTACGTTCAAACATTGGTGTTATACAAACCATCATGATGTATCAAAACTACAGATTTTAATGCCGATTCAGTATTTTGAATAAAATATTGGAATGTTGTCTCTGTTAATTACAGTTGACAACATTTTTTAGTAATTTTGTAATGATATTGTTGTCATTTGTTATACAATCCGCTCAGAGTTACCAAATTTAAAACAAGCATATAATTTTCATTATCAAGTACAAATATGACCAGTGTCAATTGATGTTGGAAAATATATTGTCACACAAACCATTCTTAGATATGAAGACTATCATTTTTTGTTGTTGTACTCGTTCATTACTTTGAATAACAAATATGAAAGTTGGCACTCTGAGTTAAAGCTGACAAAAGATTTTATATAAATAATCCTGTGATTTATCATGTTTATATTAAACAATTTATCTCTGATAACCACTTTCAAAATATCAAACTTTTGATGTCAATATAACACTTATTGGTACTGTTAATCGATGCTATGATAACCAATGCTTAAAAAATGCATAAAAGACTGCTATAGGTGGGTGCTTCCCAAACCTGTCGAAAGTTAACTTGGAGGCTACGTTTTGATTGTTTTCATTTTATATTCTTATATACATAAAATAATTGCTGTAAAATGTTACACTTGTTGATCGACATATACATGATATATACATGCAGCTACCATTAAAGCAAGGACATATTTCTTTTTAATTGAAAGGCGGATAAAAAGGTTAGCCAAGGTTTTATATAGTGTATTACTATTTTAATCCTTGGGTTATCCAACGCTTAAGAAAAATATTTTTATATGATGGGATATACACATCATTGTTAACGTTGCTGCGTTTTCCATTTTCTACAGTTTCTTCCTAAATATAATTCTATGCATTACATCGATTTTTCATCGTAATTCACCTTCTTTGCCTTGGATTTACGATTCTATTGTTGACGAAATGTTCATACGAAAGGTGTATATTGTCCGGATATGTAAGGTGTTGTATAGTTATGAACCATCTCGTCAATTTCTGCAGATTCATCTTACCGATTATAAATGATATTTGGGAGGTCCGTCAAAATAAACTCGTTCTGAACATAGATGAAATGTTTGCCCCTGGACGATTAGCTATCAACAACCAAGCAATCAACAGGCATAATACACTAACAGTCAGTCAGTATACTATTCCCAGATGATACCTTCTCATACTTTTCATTATAAAGTACAAATATGGTCAGTCATGTCAGTGTTTGATGATGAGGTCAAATATTTTTGTTATAGAAACCATCCTGAAATATGAAAACTACTGACTTAAGTAACGGTTCAATTTGATGAATTCCGAGAGGATATGCTGACACTCTAAATTGATGCAGACAAAATTATGCAGTCATCATGGTCAATGTGTAGCAATATTGCTGTCATTTATTTAATATAATTCATCCTGAGTTAACAAGTTCACTGATTGATGATACGGCTATAAAATTTTCATAATAAAGTGCAAATGATCATGAATATGGTCAATCAGTAAACGTTTCCCAGATGATACCACCCGTCCACGTCATAATTTTTATTATAAAATATGCGGTAAAATATTTTTGTTATACGAGCCAGCCTGAGGTATCAAAACTACTGACTTTTAGTTACAAGTCAATATTTGGAATAAAATAAGACATTTTAGCACTCTTAATTCATGCCTTAAACATTTTTTAGTCATTGTGTTCAAATATAATTGTCATTATTATCATAATTTCCATCCTGAGTAAAAAAACTGATTTATT